CACTCCTCTCTTCTACTATGAGGCAAAGGGGGAACTTTCCAGGTACCTTCTCCCATGGTTTTCTAGTGAAAAGTATTGAAAGAAATCACTGAAGATTTTCTACCAGTGTTGCACAGAGGAAAAGCATTTTCTTGACCAGCTTTACTTCAGTAGTGATGCACATTCAAATAATTGCTTGTGAACTTCTGAGTTGCACACTTTGACTCATATTTCAGTTAGAAATCTCTTCCCCAAATTCAAATTTCATTTTTTTGAACATGGAAGCAGATCGGAACCACAAGCAAAATTACTAGTCAGAAAATTAAAGTAAAATAAGAGAATACTTAGAAACATAGTAATCAATTTTGAAATGGCTTTTAGGAAGGGCTTATCCCAACAGTTTATTCAGCTAAAATTTGGGAGAAAATGTTCTTTGAGTGTCATTTACTCAGTATCTGTCAGTATAAAACACCAGTGCTATGTCTATTTTACATCTCAGAAGCATCAGCCCTGCCTGCTGATGATTAGAGGATTTTAAATTACACTCACTGCACAAAACAAAAACACCTGCAGCTGAAGAGTCACGGAACAGGTGAGTTTCAGAGCTGTTGTTTTCAGAAGCACTGCAATATTCCTTCCACTCACACCCTGAGCACACTGTTCTCATCATGAGTGGGAAGCTGTAATGACGTTTCACCACATTTTAAATCAGAAACCCAAATATCCCATAACTAAGCAGGTCTAAGCAGGCAGTGATACGATCACAGAACTGAGACAGTGGGGCCCCAAAATGCAATGTATTTGAAATGAGGGCTACTTCCCATTCAGATTTCTGCAAGGAGTGTGATGGCTATCTCCAGCAGCTCCTAACAAACTAGCAGAGATCACTGTGTCATCTGAAATTTCTATTCATGAGTGTGGATAAGCTCACAGATGAGAGAATCCCACCAGCTGAACTCCACCAACGAAGATTTGCATCAGCAAACGGGACAAAAATCCATCTGCATGCCTGCTCCCTCCCTCAGCACCTTCCTTGACATGGGCCACTGAATTCACTGACACACCAGAGAGCAGGGGGCTGCAGGGAGAGCCCCCCAAAAAAGCAGAAAATCAGAGATGCAGAGCACATTGCACCTCCCAGCTCCTCCCAGCAGAGCCGCTGCTTCAATGGCACTGAAGTTCCTCAGTAGCTCCAACTCATAAAAATCTTGCTCTGAAGTTAAAGATGGCATCACAAAAGATCACAGGACCCTTCCTGAGTGACCAGGTGTGAATTTGCCTAAATTTCCCCTGTCACTATAGCATTCTACTATATATTCTATATATATTCTACTGTTACCAAACAAGAGGCACATCCAAAATAGCATTCAGAAAGGGACAAGAAGAAGGAGAACACACAGCAAGTTCTGATGAATCTCTGCAGCTTTACCTTCTTTGAATCGAGCTGCCAGGATAAAACTGTGCTCCATAATTATGCATGTTTTGACTAGACAGGCTGATACCTAGACAGGCATTTCTGAATGTTGGTTTTTAAAGTGCATGAGCAAAGATTTCAGATTTTGAAATTGTGTTACATGAAAATGAGACTGAAGAAAACTCCTCTCCCTTCCTCTCGTCATTCCCATGCAAATGCAAAGAGAATTAGAAGATTTGTGTCAGTGTGGAACACTTCACACAGTTTGCTCCCATTGAGGTGAATGTCAAAAATAACTGAGCTCTTACAGAGCTTGCAGATGAATAAACTTTAAAGATGCTGTAGGTTTCTGCACCAAAAAAAATATTTCTATTTCTGTGAGGCCCACGACTGCCAAAACAATGGAAATCTGATGACATGGAAAGTCAGTTTGATTTTTATAACACTCCAGATATCCTAGTTTGAAAAACCTTATTATGAATAAGTCCCTTTACAATTTAACACTTGGCAAAAGTCCTTTGCAGGAATTATCCCTACTACATCCCCCCAAAAATCATGCTACTCTGAATCTATTGTCATTGGTATTGATTAACTCCTCCTGGAAACTTCAGAATAATATCAGTACCTCTGCCCTTTGCCCTTTCTCACACACAAATAAAGCAAAATGTAACCTCTTTCTTAGGGCACATTACATTAAGACCATACTTTCCCTCTTCATCTCCCTGTAGTTTATGATTCAAAGCGTCCTCAGCTGCTTCAGGAGTCTCCAATTGGTTTCTCACAAAAATTTCAGCTGTGGCACTGCTGTATTTATTTACCCACATGACCACTAAAGAGATATTTTGGGTTTTTTAAGTAGAAAAACCTTTCCATCTTTGCTTGCATGCTTCTTGAGTACAACTGCTATAATGACTTTCTGTCATTTTATAGATCACTTAGACAAATTTAGCAGTAAAGCAAAGGCATAATTTCCTTTCTTTAAAGACATGAATCAATACCATTCAGACAGACACAAAATTTAGAGCTTCCAAAGAAAACATATTTTTAGCTGTAACACAATATTATTTCAAATATCTGAGTAGAAAGTCTTGCATGGACAAAGCTAACAATAGTTGAGGTGTGCAGCCTGTAATAATATCAGTCCCCATTACAAACTGAAGAGACACTTCACAGTGAACAAATCTTCTTTAGGCTCCTTCAGAACTTTTGGCTTGCAAAAGAGCTGCACTGTGGTAAAAGTGACAAATGATGATATTTTCCCCTCACATCAAGCATCTTATTTTCACTTTTCAAGCTAGCACATTTCCCTTTTTAACCAAACTGACAGGTTCTCCAGCTTGTCCTACAGTTTTCTGCAAACGCAGAGAGAGCCTGGCACAAAACCATCCTGAACCACCGAGATCCTGTTGGTGTCTGAGGGGTGCTGGGACCACAGCTGGAGACACTGTGCCTCAGGAATATTTGTATTTATAGTTGTTTCTTTGTTTTGCTGGCTAACAGGACAGCTCTCACTGTCCTGAGCCCCACAGGAGATAAAACTGCCCAGACTACAAATACAGAGCCAGGGTAGGAGTGAGAATGACTTTTAAAAGAGCTGTTGAGCTTTAAGAAATTCTTTTTACTTACCAAGAAATACAATTTTCATTCGGTCACAGTCCAACACAACACAAATGGCCCACCTTATGTAAATAATGCATTCATGAAATGACATAAATTTAATTTCTTTTTTAAAAAATGTGAATTCATTTGTTTAAAGGCGAATGCTGTTTCCAAATCAGTGTAAAGGGCTATTGTGGTGATTTGTTACCCTTCCTCCAAACACTTTCATGCAGAAAAATATCCTTAAAAGAAGGCCAGCTGCAACTTTAACAAAATCACTACAATCGGTGACAATAATCTCTTTTCCTATCTCTTCAGCACATCATCCTAACAACGTGAGGTGCAGCTCCATCAAGATAAGTTGATATCAGCTATCAAAAAAACCCCACAGTTTTATTCTGCTTTTCCAGAGAGGAACCCCCTGTCACAGACCTTCAAGGCCCAGATAAAAGGAAATGCTCTTTCCCCAACCAACTTCTGCACAAGGAAATGCTTCTCACGCCGCTTTCAAGGTTTTCCCTGCCACAGAAGGGACTTTGAGAGTCGTGAGCTCGCTTTCTCTGCTGGCAGCATCACTGCACGACAAAGTGCATTTCAGCAGACAACGGCAGAACCTTTTTGACTCACAGGAACTGCACCAGAACTCCACTGGAAAAAAAAATCCCTTAGATCAGGCCTAGAGAAATGCTGAAAACAGCACTGCCCTCTCCTCAGAGTTATGGGAGTTCAAACAGATGAAAAAACTGGCAAGAGGCTTTTCTGATATGTAATTTAACTTAACGCATTTAAATGCATTTCTTAGGAAATGTTATCCATAGTGATATAGATTAGCATGAAAATTTGTGTTGGTTAAGGGAACAAAACAGAATAAAATAAACAACATATCCTGAAATTTTCAAAGATATGATGACTGCTCTGAATGAGAAGCTTTTTTTATTCATGTTGTTATCATTACAGTTGTAGTAAAACAAAGTTCCCAGAAGAAAATCCAGCTGGAGGAAGAAATTTACCAGACTTCGTCATGTTGAGGATTTGCTCCCAAGAAATACATTAAGTTAAACATATAATTATTAAGTTAAAATATATTATCAATAATAAAATAAAGACTCCTGAAGTAAATGTTACTTTAATGATTAATTCCGTGACCAACTAAAGCTTAACTATAAAACTATCCCCACTGAAAACTTTGTGATGCTTGGGAAAAAAGTAAACAGAAAAGTTCAATAGACCTATTCAAAATATGGATCAATATTAGATTCTATTTCCAGTGACTTAAAGCTTTTCTGTAGGGTCTTAAAGAGTAAGGGGTACTTGAGTTCTCAATTTATTTTTAATTTTAAGCTGAGGATTCTTTAGACATTTCCTTTGCTGTACTGCATTTCTAAGAAGCTAACACCTGGTTTATCAGGCAGAGCAGCAAATAAGTGAGATCAATTATGCTGATGCTTCTAATTTTCCCCTAACTTAGCTGTGTCACTCCACCAGGTTAAAGGCTCCTTCCAGTCTGCAAACGGCACCGAAACTCTCGGAGGAAAACCCTCGCCTGCTCCTGAGAGTCCTTGAAGCAAAGCTACGCCCAGATGAAGGCTGCAATTCCAGGCTCCATTAAGAGCCACTTATGAGCTCCTGTAAAATTTTATTGCTTTCCACCTGGCCTAGATGGTTGGATCCTGGAGCACACCAGGCTGGAGAGGACAGTCCCACTCCGAGCATCCCCAGCTGCTCGAGGTCCTGCGGTGAGGTGGGAAGTGCCATGCTGCCATCTGCAGTCAGGACACCACCACAGGGACCTCTGCCTGCTCCATCTCCTCACAGACACCGCTCTTTTCCCCTCTCATTCTCTCCCTCACCATCAGGAAGCTGGAATTGTTTGTTTTACAACACCTCGAACACGAACGTTCAAAGTTTTACTCCTCGCAGGAGAACTTGTCTTCCAGTGCTTACAGGAGTTATAGGATTGGCAAAGTAAGGAGGGAAGGAGGAAGAAAGCACCTTAAAATTCCATTACCTGTCTGGTGTGTATGGGGCCTGGGGTCTTGAAGCCTCCTTGACAGCTGCATTCAGAAACACTGTAAGGGTCTGAGCTGCTGGATGAGCACTTGGAAAGTGAGTCACAGCCCACCACAAAGGTGTTATCTAGAGGCAATTCCTGAATGACATGGTGCTTCTTGGGGGGTACAGGAGTCTCAGGTTTAATTTGAAAGGTAGGCTGCGGAGAAGCAGACTTGTAGTGCTTTGCTAAGTCTGGGCTGTCAGGTTTAAATGTGGTTGGTGTGGTGGCCCAGTTATATTTTCCCATAGTCTGTTCTTCTAGCTCTACAGGAATGTCTAAAGTGCCATTTATGTGCTCGTGGCCAGGATCATCAGGCTTAGACTCTTCAATAGTCACAAAGTTGAGGAGGAGACTCTTTGGAGAGCGCTTCTTCTTCTTCTTCTTTTTCTTGATCTGCCTATTCTCTTGGTTGGGGGAAACCCATTCACCACTCTGCTTGTTTTTTTGGACAACCTTGTGCCTGGGTGTCTGGCGGCACCGGACTAAAGCGGTAACAAAAATTACCAGAATAACTGTCATGGTGCCTGCAATGATGGCAATGATGATCTTGACATAATCATTGGTCTGTGGGGTTATCTCACCATCCCCAATGTTCTGGCCAACGGGGGTTTCCATGTTCCTACGCACCAGTTCTTGCACGTAGGAGCCGTTGGTGACCGTCTCGTTCACAAACAAGTGCACAAGGGCTATCGTGTAAAGAGACTCCGGCTGTCCCAGGTCATTCACCTTGATCACCAGTCTGTGCAAGCCATGATCCGATGTAATCACCTTCTCCTTCAAAGTAATATTGCCTGTTAATTGGTCAATGGTAAACAAGCCCCTGGAGTTCCCACCTATGATGCTATAGCGGAGCTCTGCGTTCATTCCCGTGTCATTGTCAACTGCAAAGACTTTAGTGACCACAGACCCGGGGCTGGCAGACGTTGGGACCAGCTCATAGGAATAATTAGACGAGGGAATAACAAAAACTGGCCTGTTATCATTTACATCAACAACATTGATGGTCACTTTGGCAGTTGAGGAACGCTGCAGTCTTCCTCCATCCACTGCTTTCACCTGGAAAGTGTATGACCCCTGCTGCTCCCTATCAAAGGTAATATTAGGTCTTATTACACCAGTGAGTGGATCTATAATGAAATTATCTCTACCATTTAAGATAGAGAGAGTGACCGCAGCGTTGTCTCCCGCGTCAGCGTCCGTAACTGTGATGAGCCCCACTGTGCCATACATGGGCAGGTTTTCTGGCACATAGAAATTATATTCACTATGTGTGAAAGCGGGGCTGTTATCATTCTGGTCCAGCACCGACACTGTCACGGTAGCATTGGTCTGCAAAGGTGGCATCCCATTATCCTTAGCCAGCACAGTGAAAGAGTACCTGTCCTGCTTTTCTCTGTCCAGCTTTCTCACGGCGGTCAGGATGCCCGTACGGCGGTCCAGGTTGAAAATCGGGGGTGCGTCGGAACCCAGGATGTAGCTGATCTCGGCATTCCGCCCACTGTCAGCGTCTGTAGCGCTGATCTTGGTGAGCTGAGTACCAGGAGCGTTGTTCTCAGGGATGGAAAGGCCTATGATAGGCTGTGTGAAAACTGGGGCATTGTCGTTTTCATCTTTAATTTTGATCAGGAGCATTGCAGACTGGTTTAAGGGAGGCTTCCCTGAATCTGAAGCCACTATTTTGATGGCATATTCCCGTGTGGCTTCATAGTCTAGAAATGTGGCTGTCTCCAGGAGAAACTGGTTATCAAACACTGGTTTTAGCCTGAAAGGGACATCGTGATCTGTAAAACAGGTAACTTTCCCATTCTGATCAGCGTCCTTGTCCATCACTGTTATCAAAGCAATTTTTGTATTGAGGGGAGCCTTCTCAGACAAAAGCACTGTCCCGTTCACCGGGTTGATGATGTACCTCGTGTCTATTGACGGGACATTGTCGTTGATATCTGTGACATTAACTGTCACCGTTGCTCTTGACGGAGTTGAGCTGCCATCGCTTGCCAAAACAGTCAATTTGTGCACGGGAGATTCCTCCCTGTCCAGCGGCTCCCTGATGGTGATGAGGCCCGTGGTGTTATCGATGGCAAAGAGCCTTTTGGCCAGGCTGGAGATCTGGTTGCTGAAATAGAAGTGGATTTGTGCATTGGAGCCCAGGTCTGCGTCGGTGGCGTGGAGCTGAGACACAGAGGTGCCCACCGGGGCGTTCTCGGGCACGCTGACCTCGATGTCGTTCTCTTTGAAGACCGGGCGGTTGTCGTTGACATCGGTCACCGTGACCTGCAGGATGGCAGTACTGGACCTCGGGGGGCTCCCACCATCCTCAACTTTGATTTTCATCACATAGGTGTCCTTCTGCTCCCTATCCAGGATCTGCTGGACAATCAGCTGAGGCCACTTATCTCCCTCAGGTGTCTCAGTTATGTCAAGACCAAATACATTTTGACCCTACAAGACACAGAAAGAACACACTTTAGCTTGACAGTGTATTTAAACAGAAAAATAACACATTATTCAAATATATATCTATATTCTATACAGGAATATACATTTTTATCTTTATTTTCCATATCTAGTTTTGCTTTAAGCTTCAGAGTAAATATGGCAATAAACAGATACTCTAGAAAAAGGGGAAATGTGAGAGTGATGGCAAGTTTTTCATCCAGGTTCTCTATTTCTAAAGAAAAGTTATTAAATTCCTGGACAGATGTAATTCAGTTTCTCTGTTGTATAAGTGAGTGTGGAAATGAGGAATGAAGCCAAGGTTCAGTCACTGGAGGACCTATTCCAATATTCAATTTCAAGGAAACCAACAAAGATAAAGGGATTATTTCTCTGTGGAGCAACTCTGGTCATAATCTGAAACCATTACCATAAAAAAAAAAACAAAACTAACAAAAAAACCAAACCAGTACTATCATTGATAAAGTTCTTACTACATAATTCAGATGTCAGATAATACAGACAAAACTAAGTCTTAAAAGTTCATCAGAAATACATTTAGAAACTCATTAGAACTCTTCCTGTATTCATCACTGTGTTTTATATTTGTAGAGAAAGTTACAATCCCAGTGAAAAAAGAAGATCTATTTTCATTTAAAAAAAAAAAAAATCACAGAACAGTGAGATCAATTTGAAAATGATCAATATTTTTCATGGGGTTTGTTGAATATCTCTGGAACTGCACCAAAATGCTGCATATATTGCAAAAACACAGCTTTTTTTAAAAAACAGAAGTGCTGACAAATCTGCTAAAATAAATATTTGCATCTAGTACTAAATTCTCTTTCTCTTCTGCTGTCTCTTCAGACAAACAGGAATTAGGAACGGTGTAATTATCCTCTTTTCTCATATCTCACCGCTTAGTGGAATGATGTGAAGGCAGTTTTCCAGCCACATCTTCCATAAGGGCAGGGCTAGAATGCAGATGGCTAATGCTGAATGCAGGGGATGGCCAGAAGAATAAAAGGCATAAATAAAACTGTGGACTAAATAGGAGTTTCTTTTTATGTGCAATATTTGTAATAATGAACAACTGCTCTTTCTCTGCTTATTCTCATCTCTCACCCTCACTCAGGTAACTGCCAGAGAATAATGGATGGTTTGGGCTGGAAGGGACCTTAAAGATCCTCTCATTCCACCCCCTTGCCACAGGCAGGGACACCTTCCACTGCACCAGGCCCAGTTGTGTTCTCAACTGCTTTGAGACACTCCAGAAAAAAACAAAAGAAAACGTTCTTGGTGTTCAAGGTTCCTTATTTCTCATTAGTTACAAAAGATTTGTATATCTGTATCTTGCTACCCACCACTAAGTGAATGCATTTATAGCTTCTATTCACTTCTGAGTGAGGCTGCACTCTTGTACTGATTTGTTCTCTCAAAGCCAGATTTTGACCCTACATAAGCTACCTTGTATTTCATGGGACAGAACTACTCATCCACATATCCAAAATCACTGTGCCACTTGCACAGCATTTGTGGCAACATTAGGTTGCAACTGGGGACAGTATAAAGTAAACTGGAACACATTTTGAAGTAATAAAACAAATACAGATTTGGCTTCTTTAGCAGAAAGCATGAAAATATAAGCCCTGCAAATTGTTTCTAAATCAAGATATACATTTCACACCAATTAGGGTAAATTTTAGAATGGTAATTCTAAGCTGATAGGAAGCAGAGCATGAGTTTCCTCTTCATATTCAATCTGGCTAGCAGTTATTTGCAATAAATTTCATAATTACTAAGAAATTATAAATTATATAGTCTATGCTTTAACATAGATTCCAGAGGAAAGAAAATAACAGAAGCCAGAGTAAAAGCCACCTGCCAGCTCTCTTTACTTCTTTATTTGTACACAAGCTGACAGATGGGCGCTGGTTATTCTGTCATTAGATCCCACAACTACAACAAGAACTTTGTAGAGATTTTGACTTCATGTGTCTGTACACGAGTGTGCCCATCTCTGCTTTCCTTATCAAGCATGGGAGAGGGGTTTTTCATCAGAGCAGATGAGTTTGATATAAAATGTGGTGCTTTAGCTCCCCATCACTAGCCATGAATGACTAGAGAACAGAAAAAAATGCAAAGATCTCTTCCAAGTTCATAATTAACACTTGAATAATTTTCTCTGGGAAGAAATATTATCGATGCCTATTTCTTCAAATTCATTACAGTTTTAAACATCTTTTTAAACCACAGAAAAACCATTACAGAGAAGCAGACTTTCTCTTAACTCTAGCAGGACTATTTCAGGTTGTTTAAGAGATAAGGTTAGGTGTGACATGCTGCAAATTAACAAGCACATTTGCTAAGAACAGATAGTTCTCTCATTCTAAACACTCAAAAAAAAATTTGATGAAACATTCAAGAAATATATTTTTAAGATTATAAATATCTAATTCTCTCCATTATGAGCAAAGAAATTGAGAGCTAAAATGAGAAACATGAACAAAAACCTTCAGGATTAATTTCTTGATGTTGAAGCAAATGGCTCTATCATCATTAAAAGTTCAGTGAAGTTAAAATTTCCATTAGGGTCAGATTTCTATTTGGATTGAACTGCACCTCAGTCACCACATTATCCCAGTGATCTGAAAGATTTGTTCACACTGGGAAGGGCAAGAGTCCATTGGAAAAGCACAATAGATAATTAACAGTTACAGAATACCTTTGCCCATTAAAACCACTGGTAGAAATAATCTGCTCCATAGATATCTCTACCCTTACAGAAGAATGGGAGTGAGAAATACAAGGGATTGACTGTTTAAATTTAAAAATACGATTTAAGCACTAACTATTGGAAGCAAACCAAAGTTATTCCCGTTTCAGAGCCTGGAATAGTTTGAAGAGGTTCTGACCTTCATCAAGATCCCTTATCAGGGCAAAAAGGAGCTCTGTCACCTTACCCAATTTTCATAATTTTTCCATGGATTTACACACACAGTCTCTCAAACAATAAAACTTTCTTGTTGAGAACTCCCTACTGTGTATATTTACCTGGTCATTTGTAATGGATCCAAATGTCCTTTTCGGAGCTGTTTTGGGCTGTCATGTGAATAAAAAATTAAAGAGTATTTTAAAAATTGCAACATTTAGGTGGTTTCATAAATACATAATCAATGACACACGGACACAGAGTGTGGTGAGCTAGAAGAGCTTCTAAGTACTACAGACAGGACTGGATGTGACAAAGTGCACCAAAGTCTACACACAGATATTGCAGCGTTTCACCACAGGATTTTGTTAAATCTGTGGGGTACTGACTGCCTGGACATTGTTTGGAAAAATGGGAAAATAGAACAGTTTCTGGTTAATGCTGATAACACAGACATGGTCCACTGTGTTCAAAACACACTGTGGACTCACACTTGCAGAGCAGAAAGTTGGCAGAAAGCAGGGATTTCTGCAAGAAGTGGGGAAGGGAAAGAATATTGTGCTAAATAATGCTACAAACCCAACTGCTTGTCATACAAAGTACTGAAACAGAGAGGCTACCAGTGATTATTGCTTCAAACATACAAATTACATAATTGTGAGTAACAAGTATCCATTGTTAGCTGACAAAGGGTAAATCAACAAAGATTGTCCTCAGTTTTCATTCAAAAGAGGATTCTGAACCTCCAGAGAAAGCCAAAGGAGCAAAGATAGCTCATTGTTTTGTGGCTCCAGCTTCACCCTACACTTATTATCTATAATTCTTTTATATTCTTTTAGTTTTTAATAATACTTTAAATAATTCACTTATTATCAATACTTCAGGCACTGTAAATGACAAACACATCACATGATGTCCTTGAAGCTCAAACAGAAGTCAAGGGCCATGCACAGCTCAAACTTTTACTAATATTCTGCAGTAACTCATTTCAATGACTATTGCAACAAGCTAGAATTACACTTTTATTACATATTAACAATCATCTTAAAGGAAAAAAGGAAGAAGAAAAACATTGAAAGATTGGTTTCTCATCAGAAAGTAAAAGAGTAATTCATTAAGCAATTGCTTAAATAAAAATCTCTGGCCAAAATGCAGTTTTGAGTCCAAAGGACCCTGAAATCTTTTCAGAAAGTTCAGAAAATAATGCATGCTTGCTAAAATGCTGATTATTTCACACGGAACAACAGTGAAAATATTTGCAGGTCTTGTGCAGAACTACAAGATGAGTTCCAGACATGTTTTCCTTGCCTGTTTTGGCAACTCATATGGAAGTGCTCTGTGACTGTGCTGTCAGCAGAGAAGAAATTACAGCAGCACAACTTCAGTTCTTAATGCAGGAAAACAGACCACAGTTACACCATGGACAACTATTTCTATAAGAGCTGAAAACTGAACTCGCATTTTTATTACAAAGGAGACATTTTGGTTGTGAAATTGTGAATTGCCAAAGCCAAGTTAATGTCTTAAACACAGAATTTTCCACGTGGTAGGCAATAATGGATCTAGGTGTCTGTAATGGGTGCATATGAATGCACTCAGATCCAAACTACCCGAAGTGCTGTGGCTCTAATAAAGGTCCCTTGTCTGCTATTACTCACCCAGGGTGCAATTTGCTGTCCATGCATTCTAGAAAATTACCATTTGTCGACAGCTATCCTGCTTAAGGACTCCACAGTCACTCCTCTCATGACATCCCACGGCTTACAACCCAAAGTTACTGGAAATAAGTGTCATTAGTACCAGCAGTTACCTTATGAACTGAGTGGCAGAACTTCAAAGGAGAAAAATAACATTGCAAAGGTAAGGATTTTTTTATAATGCAGACCTCAGCACATGCAGAGCTGCTTACAGATTCGAAACGCTCTCTTTGTCAAAGCAACGCAGCCTTTTAATTTGTAGGCCAAGGTTCTTAAGACTTTTACTCAAATTATGGTTTTCTGTCAGCATCATGCACTGTTTCCATTGGTTTAGCTTGGAATGAACTGAACTTTCAGGTTCAGAACCACAGTAAAAATAGGATTGGAAGCATCCAATTATGCAGAAACCTAAAGTGCATTTTCTGAATCATTCAGAATCCTAATTAGCTCAATTCCTACGTAAGAGTTGAGGACATCATATTATCAGCAATGTCTACACCATAACTTGCTACTTTTCCACCTCCAATTATGCAAGAGCTCCTATAAATGGAAAACACTGCCAAGATTTCCTCTCCTTATACACAACCAAACACAAAACTACTCTTGTCCCATGAAACAAGAGCAAGCACAACGCTGTGGAGGGGATCAACAGAACACAAGGATAATAATGAACCACTTTATGCTGGAAAGGGACAGTAAAAAGCATGACATGGAATGAAGAAGAGGCCAATCAATGCATTTAATACTGATTTTCTGAAAAAGAAAATAAAAAAAGGCTAGGAGGTTTACCCAAACAAGAAATTACTTCCTTGGAAATATAAACTGAATGTTACTATTACAAAACTTAAACAGTCCCAATAATTAACTGCACTGCTGGAGTCTCCTTAAACTTTTCAGATGAGTTGGTCCCTTCTTTAAGGGGTCTTTTTCAATCTTGTCTACTTTAAACATTGTCTACTTTATTTTCTAGATAGTTAATTAGATATAAGATAGACACAATTTTTCTAAGATGGAAAATTTTTTCATCCTGCTCAATTCTTGGCATTCAATTTATTAGATCACGTTCATTTCCACTGAGGAGAATCAATTAGGGACAGTGAATACTATATTTTTTTTATTTATTTACTTTTCTTGCTGCCCTAATTTCTTCGATTGACACTTCAAGTGGGCCTGAAAGTCCCTAACTGAAAAGTGTTAATATTTTTAACCACAATTTTTACAAGGCAGAGAATAGGAAGAGCTGAAAATTGGTAACCCACATAAACCCCACATTTTCAAGATTGCACCAGGCTTCATGAATAAAAAAAGAGTTCTCTTCCTGCAGCACATCTCTGGCCTTTAAAATGCTGTTACAAGTTGAGTTGTTTGCAGGTTCTTAATTAAATCTAATTTATCTTTTCACATATGGATGACAATTAAAAAAAAAAAAAGAAAACCAAAATTAAAAACAAAACAGATACCTGAATCTTTCAATAGAAGTTCACTCCATCCACCTCTACAAACTAGGGTGGGAAAAATGGTGAACCCACATTGCTGCATTAACAGGACACAAAATTATCAAAAAACTCCTTTCAAAGAACTGGACCATTACTTGAGTGGTTTTTCACAATGTGCTGCAGACAAACAAAAATATATTTCAGAAAAACATGCAGCTGCACCACAAAACTGGAAGGAATTTATGTTCACAATACTCCTGCTGTATAAATAGTTGTAGACTAAATAAAGATGGGAAATAGAAATACAGAGACACTTTTATCAATTGTCCAAAGTTTGTAGCTGGTCTGAAAAGGACGGCCACTTCTGAGTTACTAATCACAATTAAAATTAAATGTGGTAATTCTAAAACGTTATAATTCTAAATTATAATTTAGAATTTTCAACTTTAGAAACCAACCAGTAGAATGGAACTTTAGGAGCTAACCTTTAGAATTGCAAACTTCAAGCCAGGTTCTTTCATTTAGAGACACTTTGACCAAAACAAGGGAGGTCAACAGCGGCAGGTAACAACCAGGGAGGCAACCTCCCCTCTTAATCTCCTCCATTATAGCTGTACAGAAATATTCACAGACATCCTACTGAACAAAAAACTACATTTTCAACACCCTGAGGATATTCAGATTAAGGTATTAAACATGTTTGAGCTTTGCTCTGAATTCCCATGATAAAGCTCCAGACACCTGACTTGCCTTTCAGTACATTTCTGCCTTTGGAGTTTCACCGTAGATATATAATGAAGGGGGAAAAAAAAAATAAAAATTGGATTTATATCAGGCAACACTACACCCAACAAGTGCATTTTGATATTTGCATTATACAGGCTGACAGTTACACATTTGCTCTATTTCCTGGCTGAGAGCAGGCACAGAACCGAGGACGTGCGAGAAAGAGAAATAAATGAGTACAAGGCTCCAGAGCAGCGCTGTGCCTTTGGAGGGGAGCACTAACAATTCTGTACAGCTGCTCAGAGCAGCTCCTAAATCACAACCTCGTTTGGCCTCTACAGCCAGAGGCTCTGTCTGAGCTGCTGCTGGCACATCTGGAGCTGGGGGTGAGCGCTGCCAGGTGTTGGTGAGGGGTGAAGCTGCCATGCCCTCCCGCTCACAACCTGCTCGGAGCACATCAGCACTGCCAGGCAGGAGGGGATTAAACCTGACAGCCACTTCTACACCAGGAAATGCAAACAGCCCAGACAGTTCTGAAAATTCCTTTCCCCTACAGCAGGGGCTGTGCAGCATCCCCAGCTCGCAGTGACTGCAGTGGAGACTGCAGGAATGGATACGGCGCGTGGAAAATGGGGAAAGAAAATACAAAATAGACTGAAATCCTCGTGCTTTGCTGAATAGGAGTGAAAACATCTGCAAATCGAAATTCATTAAATTAATGTATTGTTTTTATCTCGTTCCCTGCTGTACATACATGCACACGCAAATTCAGTGTGTATATCTTTAAACACATTGCACCCTCATTAAGAAAAATCCATATTCTAACCTCTGATGCTGCAGCTTTTCCAACAAGTTGTTTAGCAAGATTGTCTTCTTTGACCTAGCACCCTTCTAAAGCTCAGCTGGGAGCAAAACCACTCCATCTTCCCTTTATGCTTACACTTCTAAGAAAAAATGCTGCCCAAACCTCCATCTGAATAGCAGGAGCATCTCACACACACACACAACACTCTCCCACTTCCAAAAACACAAGGAAATTCTTTCATGTGCAGGGACAGCACTCAATTGTCCATGTGTCACTGCTTTATGAATGTTGATTAAAAAATCCACAGCCTTAATGCAGACAATTCACTGCCCGTGTGGGGAAAAATGTAGCAGGAAGAGAAAAAAAATAACTCCAGCAGCAAAGAGCTGCACTTGGAACAGATTTCCCCCAGCTTCCACAAGCTTTAGGAATTCTAGACCTGTCACTATTACTGCAGAAAGGACCTGATCACAAACCTCTCTCAAGGCCTCCACTCGGCAGGGTTT